TATATTCTTTCTCTATCTATTGAAAATATCTCAAAGCAAGCTACCTGACAAAAGGAAAACAAAAGTATGCTATTGGTTTTCCTTGCTTTCCCCCCGTCTATTGAATAAGGTTTTGTTGGGATAAAATTAAAGTGCTTATCTTTGAATTTGCTTCCTCTGGTTGAGTTGGCACAGTACATTGAACGAAGGAATGTTCCAAGTTCAGAGGTGGCATTGGGGAATCTAGTTAAAATGACATCAAAGGCAGCACAGCGGGGCTGAACATGTGTTTGAAGCCGGATAGATTAGAGGCCATTATCAGCCTTTCGCTACTGTGCTGGGAACAAAAGTCGCTCTTTCCGCTGGGACTGCTGCTGGGGAGAATTAAAAAAAAAAAAAAAAAAAGAGAGAGAGAGAAAGAAAGAAAAATTGCACCTTCTAATATAATGCCGCTTTTCCCGCAAACGGCAGTGTGGCTTTAGCATGCGAGTTGTGTTCTGGCGCCCAGGTTTTGTGCGGTGGGTCAGCTGAAATGTTGTCTATTGATGCCGACCAGCAAGGGCTAAAATAATCCCCCAGATTACTTTTTTTTTCCTGTAAAAATGGCATGTTGTTTTGTTGCCATCCAGTCTGGAAGAAGCCACGTCATGATGTGGTGCAACTCTCTAACTGTTGTGACTCTTAAGTTATTTTTCAAATGGAGGTTCATCATTAAAGAAAATGAAGCTGCCTAATGAAAGCTATCGTAATCGCCTGTCGGTATAGCAATGCTTGGGGAAATTGCTCTGCTCTCATAACATGTCACTGCTGGGCACAGCAGAGGTGATGCTCCCAGACATGCTCTTCCTCCTCCTCCCACATTACCTGCAGCCACTAGCCAGAGCTGTAATTAGCCCAGCTAATTTTCTGTTCTCTCATTTGTCTTCCTACTAAAAAGCACTTGTAATTAATCACGGGTTTTATTTTATATTAATGGTGTTTCATTTTGAATGCCTGGGTTACTGCATGAAATTGCATTCTTCTGATGTAATTTGGTGGCAATTCTGCCTGCACCCACATTTCCAGGGAGCCAGTGGGGCAGCAGGCATGATGGAAATGGGAGAGCGAGCTGATGGTGACCGTCCTTGCACAAGCTAGTGCTTGTAACTCAGCGGGTTTTCAGGCAAAACACCACAATTGTGTAAATTGTGTTTCCCTTGCCAAATGGCATCTTGACTTTAAAAATCTGCTGGTTAAACTGTTTGGTTTATGTTCTCAAGAAGCAGCTGTGCTTGGCCATTGGGGAGGAGGGTAGGTGCTAAGTACATTTGGCTTGTGCAAACATCTTGTTGTGAGATGCTGTTGGGACTGGCTCGTTTGCACTGCTCGGAGTAATGCAGGGTTGGAGAGAGACAGCATGTGTGCATGGAAGTTATTTCAGACAAACCAAATCCCTCCATTCATTTCCATCCATTTCTGTGGCATTGCACAGTCTTCCCAAGCAGTTACTTCTACTGAATCAGGGAGACATATAAAATAAAGGAAAGCTCCAAATTGCCAAGCTCCAGGCTGGCATTTGTTTTTGCATTTTTTGATATTTCTCAAAATAATTTGGTGTCACCAGGAGACAGGCCCGTGTCCTTATCTCGTGACTGGGCTCCACTTCGCTTACATTTCTCCTCATTCCCAGGTGTAAGCAGGGTGGTCACAATGGTGAGAACAAAAATGCTTTTCCTTTCTTTGCCTGAAGTCGTACTCAGCTAGTGATGCTTTGCCATTAGGGTGCTTAGGGAAGTCTGGTGCCTCTGACCCCGCTGATGCCCGTCACTGGGACCCACTAGCACCCAGGCCCCCACCTTTGCAGAAGGACTGTGTGCAGCTCAGCAGAGCAGGTCTGCATCGTCCCCCAGCTCACGGCAGAGCCACGGACCCAGCTCGTGGTCTGTTAGGACCAAGGATCGTGGCCACCACTATCTCCTCCCTCTGCAGAGACCTCAGTCACCAGCTTTTTCAGCAAAGGCACAAACCCAAGCAGAGCTGGGTCACTTTGATATTGCTGCCCATGGCTGCTCTCCCTAATCTTGTGCAGCCGCCTCTGGGGAGAGGGCCCGGTTCTTCCACACAGTAGCTGCAGTATCAAACCCATATTTTGTGACTGAGCTAGAGATTGTCTTAAGAGCAGCGGAGCCTACCCCTTTGCTTTGATAAGCCATTTGAGAAGTTGTCACGCTCTTTTAAAAATATGTACCTTGTTCCCCGACTGAGTTCCCCTTGGTGTAGATGCTCACCGAGCTCCCACTCCTCCTCCCCCTCCTAGCCTGCCCTGTGGTTTACTCTGTACATTACAGGCTCTTTTATAGAAAGCAACCAACTATAAAAGGTACCAGGATGTGGTCCAAGTCCTTCTCCCTGCCCTCTGCCTACGGCAGCGGTCACAGGAGCCCTGCCTCACTCTGCTCCTGGCGGATGCCGTGTAAGTCCCCCCGGCACCCAACACTAGAGCGCTGCTGGTGTGGGGACCTGGGCGAGCATCATTCCCTCTGCGGGTTCCTTTTGCTCTACTGCACTTGCCCTGGGCGTGCAAAGCCTTTCTCAAATGTAAAGGGGTTTCCTGCCTGCCGCTCTGCAGCAGTGAGGCTTAAATGACCATGGCGTATCAGAGAAAGGCACTAAAGCAGGGCTTGTTGTTGTTTTATTCCGGCAGAGATGGGATCCCGCCGTACAGACTCCGCAAGCAGCATCGCAGAGAGATGCAAGAAAGTGCCAAAGCAAATGGACGTGTGCCACTACCTCACATTCCTGTAAGTAGCATTATCTCCTTCCCCAGAGGTAAATATGCAAAATATGTGAGATCTCCAGTGTACAGTTGCTCTGCTTGCTCGAGTTTAACTCCCCTTAGCGCTGTATTCATGTGGGGATGTTTTAAGACAGAAATCCACCATGCTAAGAAAGGGTTTGGTAGCCTTCTGGCAAAGTCATCATCCAGGCCTGCCCAAAACACATAATTTTTCTTAACCATGCAATCCGTAGCCGGTTGTTTCTCCCGGATGAGAATGGAAGCTGTGTCTGGCGTCTACTTGCAAGCAGGTTGCATGCCCTCGGGTGAGCTGGAGGTGTTTGTGGAAGAGGTAGGAGGCTATTGGACATGGAGGCTGATGCAGCTCTCAGCCAAGGTCAGCTGGGGAGAAATGCAACTGTCCCGAGCAGTGTTTCTGCACTGGGCAGCCAAAGGGAGCTGTAACCTGCTCTCAAGGACTCAGCAAAGCCCACCTGGGCATACGAGGCAGGAGAGCAAAGAAGGTGCAGGCTAAGTATTTCATTTGTCTGATACTGTCTCCCCAGTTGCTCCAGGTAAGCAACCAGCTTTTGGAAGATGAGCATAACTGCTGGGGCTCTGCAGCAGCATCTGGAGCTCTGCTTATTGATATTTTCTTTTTGTGAGAAGTTACAGGTGACATTTAATATCTAGCAGGGAATAAAGGTGCTTCTTTCCCCTTTGGACAGCTGGACTCCAGCACAAATCAAATAGGGAGAAAAAAAAGCCTCCATCTGCTTTTTCCAGAAGTGCCTTCAAACTTGACGCAGCTGCTTAAAGCAGCACAATACCAGCAGAAATACACCCTTGTTTTAATCTGACTTTAAAAAAAAAAAATCACACCAAAAAACCCCAGCAAAACTACCACTCTTTGTTTTGTCTTTTAAATTAGATTATTTTCCTTAGATTTAAGAGGGTCTCCTGTGCTTTGATCACTGGGTTGACAATAAAAGCCCTGGCTGCGGACGCTCACTAGCCATCCTTGCTCAGTCACCTCTCTTTTCACACAGTTGCTTTCACAGTGTGGTCGCTGTTGAAAAGGCTGGCTGGGTGCCTTTTTATTTCACTTGATGCCGTTTTTACTGTAAGCATGGCTTTGTTAGAGTTGAAGTTTGAAAGCTTGGCCTTTATTTTTTGTTGTTGTTGTTGTTGCTGTTCCCCAACAGTGGGAACTACTGAGTGAATATTCTCTGACTTCAAAGCTTGTCAGTGGCTTTACCTTTTGGATAAAAATAATAGTGGCTTTCTGTTGATCATGTGCACTGGCAATGCCTCAATGAACTGCAGGTTATAAACTCAGAGTATGGAGCATTAAATATGTATAGTGAGCTCCGCTTTAACGAACTTCCATCTGCCAAACATTTCTTTTGTTGAACTGAATAAGTGTCATTCCGGCAGCAGTTCCTTGCAGGCTAATTAGTTTTACTTAGCATTAAATTTTATCGACCTTTTTGGAAACCAGTTAAAAAGCGGGTGGGGGGGAACAAGGTTTAAATTGGCCACCTGCTGCTTATAAATTTTTATATTATCCTTCTTATCTACACGGTCTTTTAGAATTACATATTCCTCCTAAACTACACACAGAAGCTTCACAAGGATTTTTGTGTGAAACATCCGCTGCTCCCATTAGGTTCTGTGCTGTAATTCTAAGTCCCAGGGAAAAAGGCATCTTGACGCATATTTATGTGGGAGCGGAGGACTGAGAAGTCGAGTTAGTTCTAGTCTTTCTCCAGGGAATAAAAGTTTAGTTCAGACACTCTGGCACCTCCTGCCAGCCAATTACTGACACAGAATTGGCATCAACTTCAGAGAGGCACTGCTCTGCCCTCGCTTATCAATCAGCCGAGAAAGGAGAAGGTAATTAGACAATATGTTTTGACAACACCAGTGTGAAATGTTATAAAGTTAGTCTTTTAAAATCACCTCTAGCTGCACGCTTATTGAATTAAACATCCCCAATTAGCAAGAAGCCATGCAAATGTTTCTTCAAGTGTTGCTTTCCAAAGCTGGTGGTTCGGCTATCTCGCAGACCGTAGCTAAAGCAGTCTCCATCGGCCGCCTGGGCCTGGTGGTTAGCATGCTTTTAAACGGGCAGCAATGACTAAATTGCAACCTTTGAGTGAAGGTCTTTATGGACTCATATCTAACCAGTGTAGTCAGAGTCCGTACTGATAGTGTTTGCAGAATGCATGGCATGTTTTCCTAGTGATAGTAAAGAACCTCCTACTTCCGAAAAGTCATTTCAGAAGTCCTTTAGAGACCTTACCGTTCCCTTAGGAATGAGTTATGGGGCTATTATGCAAAATCCTGAAAGAACTTATATTGCTTTTAATAGCAGCACTTTTAGTTAGGTCCAGAAGCTATAAACTGTAGTGATTATATGTTTGTAGGAGACTGCCTGCTAGTTGCAGCAGCCGTGCTGCCTCCAAATAACAAAGGCATGCGCTGGTTAGGATGCCCTGCTACAGCAGGAGTCTTGGTGCATGGATGGCTGTGTTCTGCATCTTCCACACTTACAAACTCACCAGTTTGGAAAAGTAGTGTTTTGTGAAATGGCACTCTGCCCAGGAATGCAGTGGGTGAAGGTCTCTAGCAAGCAGCAAGACCTTTGTTATGTGCCTCTGGCAGGAACCCATTACACGGCAAGTGAGTGTTGCTTTTCATGTGGTTTTCCATCTCTCTCTCGGATTCAAGCAGAGTCTTGGAGCACCAAGTTCCCAAAGGAAGGGTGAAAGTCCAGAGAATGCAGGGCCGTACCTGTATTTACCCTGGCTGTGGTGTTCATCCGTTCCCAGGAGAGGATGGGAGATGCTCCTTTTTCCCAGAAAATTCAGAGAAATCCAGCCTCAAGCAATAAGACTTGGAATTCCTTTTTCTGTTTGTTTAAGTGCATAAAGAGGCCATTTTGTGATGTTCTTTCTGTAGCTTGATCATTGCGTGGGAGCTGTCCTGTCCTGCCCCACAAATGAGGAAGCTACAAGGTGGTTTCCGTAGTGTTCTTGGGTGGAACAGAAGATTTTGAGTGACCACTCTGCTATGGTGTACACGTGGGGCTTGTGCAGGAGGAGCCCATGTCTCCTGCTGCCTGGATAACTACAGCTAAATGAGCTTTCTGCTCCTGCAAGTTGGGAACCTACTCAGAATTCCCATCAGCCATTTTATATCATTTTCCTCAAACGCCTTGCAGCAGCAGGACTCCTTGCTAATCCCTGAATGCTGCTAAAGTGGATGCTGAAATCCAGCTATCCATGAGCTCTGCCACAGTTGTTTCTGGCATGGAAACACTATTTATCCTTTTAAAAACATGTATCACAGAGGAATGTATTAATCTGGGAAAAGTGGAGATTCAGAAGTTCTTTTCTCTTGGCTTCTCTAGGCTGCCATCTTCCTTTCATTTCCAAGACTGACTTGTGATCTAACATCAGCCACTCAGGCATCATGGAGGCATCAAACCTTTTGTAGAAGAGGAAGGTTTACCCACACAGAATTCTTTGGCCCAGTCGGATCTGTCAGAAATGGTTTGGCCCAGCCTGTGGATCTCTGGGGGTGCCCAGTGATAACATTGGAAAACTTCCTGTTTCATCTCAGAGCAATTGAAGTTTATTCTTCCCTAGGGGAACCAGCAAACTGCGATGAGATTCTTCCCTTCCAGCCTTTTCACGTATCATAGTAAAACCACACACTTAGGATGCCAGTGTGTTCTGATGTGCAACTTGGTCCTCAAACCTCAGTTTCTCAGGGAAGGTGAAATCCATCAAAACCCAAGACCTGCATCTGTCTCATGTCCATGCAACTCCCACTCCATCAGCTCCAAGAAAAGAAGGAGAAAACATGATAGCAGGTGCTAAGTGGAGCTACTGGAAGGCTTGTGTATCTCACATATTCTTAGCAGGCTGCTTCTTCTCAAAGGTACCAGAGCTTCAGACACTTCACATGTCAATGTTCTGGTGATAGGTACCCCAAGAAATCCTTCCTCACAGCTGTCGCTAGGAAAGATTGCTTCACCCAGACCGGTTCAAGCGATTTCTTTCTTTCCAACCCATCTGGCATTCAGCCTCGTATCTGTTGTCCTCTGCAACCTCCCCAACTCAGCGTGGTTCGGTTCTGGACAGACCCCTCAGAACTAATGGCATTAAATAACAATGAATAGATAATTAAATAAAACATTAGATAAAACTGCTGTAGATGAAACAATAAAATGAAACGTTTCCTTTCTGAGTTGTTGATGCAGAATGACCAGAGATCTCATTCTGGTCCATACTGGAGGGCTGGATCCTCCAAAACCAAACAGCTTGCACTCTTTACTTGGAAGAAAAGCGTTTGGAGCCCTTCTGATATCAGAACAAGAAACAGCTTATTTACAGCTCCCTTGGTAGGGCTCTGTATGCCCAGGGAAACCTGGGGGCAGGTTCAAAATGCTGAAGCCCTGAAGGATTCTCCTCTGGGCACAGGCTCAACCTGGATGGTTTTGATGGAACATGTCTCCCTTCTGAAGTCAGGCCTGTCATTTGATAAAAGTTTCAAACACTTTGTTGTGTTAAGCCTTTTGAACCAGGTCAATGCAGTCCATGTTTGCTGTCCAGGGAGATAGAGAGAGCCCTCAGCAGTTATCTGTATTGTTTCAGCACAAGGAATTTGCATTCATTATTCTGCATACTATTAGTTTTGGGGAAGTCTGTGTAGTTCATCCTTTGAGCTAGGAATAAAGCCAGACCCATGGCGATGTTCAGAACATCATCCTGCTTGCCAGCTTTCTGTGAGTCACCATTAAGGGCACCCACCAGGACAAGGCAGGGCACATGCAGCCGGTATCTGTGGGGTGAAGTGAGGTTTATTTCAGTTGCGTTGAACTGGGATGGTCAGGGAGACCCTTGCAGAGATGGCTTCACAGAGGGGACTGCATCTTGCACCCTTCAACAGGCTGCTGAGGACCTCTGCAAACTGTCGTGCTGAGTGGAAAGCTCCGAGGATGGGGCAGTGGGTTTTGCAGATGCAGCGGTTTATCAGAGAGGAAACTGAATTCATCCCAAAGATTCTTGGTTTGATTATTGTAATTTCTGTAGTTGAGCTTCAGTTGCCCCCAGACTTCGAAAGACTTTGGATAAACATGCTGAAGTGTTAGTCATAAAAGACCAAAATCATCTTCTCTTGAATTCCCTGGACCCTGATCCTCATCGGAGATGGAGCTGAGGTCCTTCAGCATTGTTGGGCCTGGAGGGAACCACCTTGTTGTAACAGGGCTCAAACAGGCACATTAGTAAACTTCAGCCTTTGCACCCACTGCTACTGGGGGCCCAGGAGAGACTTTGGTTTGGGATGCTTCGTTGCATCAGAGGCTGTGAAAATAAAGGGAAATTCTTCTCTGGTTCTGCTTTGCTGTGGAAGCCGCTGTGGTAGCTGCACAGGGAGACCCGAGACTGTAACTGCTGAGCACTGAGCTGCCTCTCATTAGGCTCATTAAGTTTCTAACGGAGCAGGGCTTGGTGCTGCCATCATATAAACAACCGCAGGGAGAGTTGGCATGTCTGAGGTGGCAGAAGGGAGTGAACACGTCACCCGACGAGTTGTGACTTGTCAGGCGAGAGAGAGATTCCCCTCCTCGGGAATTGCTGGTGCTGCCTCACGAGGTGGATGGTGGTGGTCATGGGTTTGGGGTTTCTGATGAAAGCAGACGCCCTTAGCTACTTAGCCAGAAGTGCTCCTCTGGGCTCTGCGGGGGAAGTGGGGCAACATCACTTGGATCTTAGCAGCTCCCCAGGGAGTAACAGAGCAGGGACCAGCCCTGCCACATCTTTCCCCATGATGGAGCACGTCTGGGGCCTATTTCTGGACAACACAAGGTCCAGATGCTGGGACAAAGCATGCCACTTTGGCCCTTGTGCCAATATTTCAAGACTCAACATCATTTTTGATGATGAAAATCTTGTTCTGCCGTGTATCTTTTTAATATAGGCCATCGATTTTCAGGTCCGGGCAGCAAAGATTTTGTCATCCCAGGGTGGAAGCCACCTGGTAGCTCGCACGTATTACGTCCTCTCCAGTGGCTGCATCCCTGGATGAACGGGATGGTTGTTTGGGGCTGTTCCCGGCTTGGATGGGTCAGTCCTGCGTGGGACAGCTTCAGGTGGAGCTGTTGGTTCCTCTGCTTGTCATGGAAAGTGAGTGCTGGAGCAGGCAGTCCTTTTGCCTGCAAAGCTGCGTTGTGTCTGCAGACGTCCCCAGGGACACTGCAGCCCAGCACCATCCAGCGTGGAAGAGAAGGCGACAGCAGCGAGCGCTGGAATTGAGATTTGCTGGCAGGGTTGGCTGGGTCTTGCTGTCGGCGAACAAAATAAGCAGTGCTTTGACTGAGACCTCTGCAACCCAACTTGGATGTTGTAAAAGATGTCTTGGTGCCATCAGCAGGATACTTACGCCTTTATTTTTCTTCCCCTGCCTTCCACTCAGCAGCTGGCAGAGAGAAAAACCAATATGATTGCCATACTTTTGTCAGGTTTTGAGGTGAAGCATTCTTTTAGTCTTCCACATGGATCTTTTGGCTGGTCTGGGATAAATTCAGTTGGTTCCTGATCCTCCTTTAAAGATTTCAAGCTCGATGTCTTCTGGTGCTGCATTTGTTCTTATGCTATGCATTATCTCACGTCTTCACATTTAGTTTTATCTCTGGTCCTATAGAGTGTATATTTCTGTCACGTTGGTATTGAAATATTTGAATGCAGATTTTTATATTGTTAGATTTTCCATAGATTTTTCCTCCAAATTAAATTTTTATCTCTACTGTGTCATTTTTTTTTCTACTATTTTAACAAAGTAATGCAGAAGGGATAAGAATTAGGGGAAAGATACAGCAGCTGATAGCTTCATACTTGACTACACAAACTTTTTTCCCAGAGCTCAGGAATTTAGGGACAAAGTCACTCAGCATAAGGAACCAAGAATGCCCTTGAATTACCATAAATATTCATTTGTTCACCCAGAGCAAGCAGAAAAATGGTATCTCTGCACTTGCAAGGTTGCTGTATTGATAAAGCAAACAGGGGATTGTTGCACAGCTCTGAAGAGCTGAGATGCAGTCCTCCAGGATCCTCTAGTAAGAGGATGCTTTGTGGGAATCATGGCCTTTTGTGGCTGGGCAAAGAAGATGGAGGGAAGTAAGATGTCTTAGAGGTGATAGGATTTCCACTCCTTTCTCTGGCTGTGGGCTAGGTTTGCAGAGGTTGACCAGCATACACTGATCCTCCTGGGGTAAGCTGAATAAGTGTGCATAAGAGTCCTGCTTTTTGTCAAAGTGAAAACATCACTACTCTAAGCATGATTTTTGAGAGGTTTGTCTGTACATCCTTCTACCACCCTTTAAGACCAGGATATTGCTGTTGACGGTGTGTTGATGGGAGAAGAGCAAGCATGTCCATCCTGAAGTGGAGTTTGGTGCCAAAAGAGCTTGTTCAGTTGTGGCTTCAGAAAACCTTTCCCTTATGTGGGGTGATGTGCGGCACTGGTGCCAGCCAGGGAGCTTGTGGTGGTGGCTCAGCTTCCAGCCCCGTGGTCCTAGGCGGCACCTCTGCATCTGCCAGCCTGTCCTCTCTCAACTCCCCACCAGAATGACAGGCATTTCCAGTTATTGAAGCCTCCAAAATAAACGTGGGATTTTTTCATGCATCTTTTTCTAACCTGTGTGTTTTTCCTCCAGCGTACATACCGAATGCCAAAGGATATCCACGTTGAACCAGAGAAGTTTGCTGCAGAGCTAATCAATCGTTTGGAGGAAGTACAAAAGGAACGTGAAGCAGAGGAGAAGTTAGAGGAGCGTCTCAAACGCGTTCGAGCGGTTAGTAACCTCCTTGCCTCTTCTGCCAGCCTGGGAGTCTTGTCTGCATACTGTACACCACAGGGAGCTTTTAGCTGCTCTGGAAGCAACCAGGGTGATGACTTCCCTGCTCCAACAGCCATGGTCATCACTTGCACAGGGGCTCCTGGAGGCTCACTTTGCCCCAGGAGCTTCCGTGGTGCTCTTCCCGAGTCCATGCAGGGCTCTGTGAGCTCCAGCACCCCCTCCCTGCTGTAAGATACCAACTATGGCACAGCAGTGCTCCTTCTGCCACCAGTTAGAGGCTGTGGATGCTCTCCATCATCTTCTCTGGCACCATTGCTCTCCTGACTTTGTGAGCCATCCCTTCCATGTGAGGGTGCGGACTATGTAACAGGGGTTCGCCTTCCCCCGTGGCGTTTTGTGTGATCCCTGTTTCCCCCACAAATGGTAACTAGATGGCAGGTGATGTTATGCTTGGAGGTGTTTGCTTCTGCTATCAGGCCATTTCTGCCACAACCAAAGTCCCATCAGTGCCTAGCACATCCCTAGAAAATTTGGATCTGATCAGGTGTAGCATCCAAAAACCCTCTCCTGGGCGGAGAAATGCACTGACTCCCAATGGGTGGCTGGGGAAACCCAGCCCGTGGCGCTGTGAGCCCTGGTGCCAGCCCTTCACAGCCTGAGGACTTGGTAGATGAACCAAGGGGAGCGTGCCCAGGCCTTTAGCTCCACAAAAAGCTCCAAAAGGGAGAGAATGAAGTATTGGTCTAGTATTACCTGTGTGAGACACCCTGTTCAGCAGTACTCACACCATATCTTTTCTTCTGAGATACTGCAGCTCATGGGTACCTGTACATCTTGTGCCATGCATACAGGAGAGTTTTCACAGTTACTGACATCACTGATGTTAGTATAACTACAGCCCTGTGTGAAGAAATTGTGGGTCTCTGCGGTTATAGCTGCCGTGGCTCTGAGATGAAGGCTCTGTGCTTAGTAACCCGCTGCTCTCCCTTAAAGCAGAGGTGTTGGTCCCTGTCTTGGCTAGCTCTGTGCTTTCAGAGAAGCTGGGACTCCAGGGCAGATCCAGCCCCATTAGAGTATTTTTAAATGTTCATCCAGTACCTCTTTAAACAGAAAAGAGCTGTAGGTTGTACTATTTGCTTTAAATCACATCTGCATTTCAAATGCAGAGAAGTGAGGAAGGCAGAAGGATCTCTAAGGTTCCCTCCAGCTCCAAGCGTTGTCCAGCAGACTTCTTGCACCTCTGCATCCAGCCAGAAACGGACAGCGAGGTGCTATTTTGTGGTTAGATTCCTGTTCTTCTAGAATTGCTCTGTTTTTCTGTCTGGTACATACTGCTTTATAGACAAAGCCGATGTAGCCGGCAGCATTTTCTGCTAACACAGTCCTAGAGCATTCTTCCTCCTCCTCCTCCTTCGCCGCCTCCTCCTGTGGCTCCGTTGTAGCCCCCACCTGTACCAGATTACATTAGCCTAGCTCTCTGCCTCCTTGAAGAAGCTGCCAGTAGCAGTACCATAAAATCAGCAAATACCTATGTGCCAGAGAATAAATTTAAGTCTGTTTAAACACATTTTTGTGTGCCTTAATCTATTTTTAAGCCCAGGACTCCCACTAATGCTATATATTAAACCTCTTTCCTGTCTCCAGAATGTATTTCATTGACTGGCTGGCATCTGGCATTAGCCATTCAGGAAAAACTCCGAGTAAGCAATTGTAGCATTTTTAGGTCAGCACTTAAGGTGCAGGAGCTGCTGGTATCAGCAAGAGGAGAGCTTGAATCCTGAGAGATCACAGGGCTTTTTTCTGTGACCTGAACACCAGGATGACAGAGTAACCTCTTAGCGGGTCTGCGTGGCTCACCGAACAGCAGCACAGGGAAAAACCACGAGCGTTAGTCACACTAGGCAGTTATCAGCTTAGCTGAGAAGCTGGAAATATTTTGCAAAAGCTAGGAAAAAAGGATTTTTCTCCCCCATGCTGAGCTGCCTGCAGGTTCCCTTTCAAAGCCACATCATGCAGTAACATCAAGAAGAGGCATCTGATTTAAAGCCAAATGCCTTTTACTGAAAAGACTGTGAGATTTCTGTTTTTCAAAAAAAAAAAAAAACAAAACAAACTCTGAATTCATTAATCATTCTTAGCAACGTGGGAGAGGATTAGAGGATATGCATGTTCCCTTATTACTTTTTGAGCCGCGTCAGCCTCACGGCCATGCATGAAAGCTGCAGTATCGTAATATACAGATCGCTCTGTCTTTGTCTGAACTGAGCAAATTGAAAATAAGCCAGGGGAAGCAAAGACAGTGCTGAGATTCTCACTATTTGAATATAAAACGTTGCCTAACTAGAGAGGGAAATCATTTGCGTGATGATCAAAAAAGCACTCGTGGTTAAGTGAGCTGTTTTGCCGTACCGACCAGTAGCAGCCTGATGGGTGGGACTGGGAGAAGGCAGAGGAGGAGATTTGCAGCAAAGTATCGCTTGCCCATAGCTCATCAGTGTAGATCTCAGCCTCTGAATTCAAAGGGAAGGGCACCCCCGACCTTGCTGGAGAGCAAAAATAGCTCAGCAGACAGTCAGCAAAGTTGAAGCCTGCATCTCTCTTAACTGCG